AAGAATGTTTTCGATACCATTGGTGTTTGAAGTAGAAATACTGATGCTTTTCCTGATTTGTAACTACTCTGTCAAGAGCACAACTTCTTCAGTGGCTATTTTAAGAGGGCATCCTTATCCGTCCTTTCCAGTTGCAATTTTGTCCTGCTGTTAGGACAAGCCTGCAGTGCTCAGTTGAACCTTTTGCACAGTATTTTTACAAGCCTACAATGGAAGACAGATCTTTTAAATTCTTTACACATCTTGGTGTGTGGGAAGCAGAGACTTTTTTCTAAAGATGCTGGTGCCACAGAGCAGGCAAGTCAGGCTCCTGGGTTGCAAACTGTGGCTGTTCTGTGATGTGCAAGGAAGATCCCATTCCCTCCCAGCACCATCATATAGAACGAATGTGTGCCTGCCTGTCTGTATGCTTGCACTGATCTGACATTAGCCCATAGTGATTTTGATGTACTGATTAGAGTAATTTCTATATTGCACTGGAATTTTCTTTGAAGGGAGACTGTCAATGTAAGGAACTTATGACTAAAGTCAGCACTAGCTAAGGCTTTTGGAGATAAACGAGAGAAATTTTTCAGCATCTATGTATTTTGTACATAGTGTTTGTCCCCTCATTATTGTATTATTAGTCCCCCATAGTTACAGTAGTTAATTATATGATAATAATGTGATTCTTACAAATGCTGTGAGGAAGACTGGGAGCAGCTGCAGTAGAGGAACTATCCAGTTAACTAACGAGATATAAAACAAAGGAAAATCATTGGGTATTCTCAGTTGCTTTGACTGCACAAAGCTTTTTTATATGAGTGTATAGTTAATGCCATTAATAATCCATGGCTAAGAACACTATAAGCCAGAAGTGAGATATTCATGCTAATTTTGATGTGCATTTGTATGTGTAATCTTGAAATTCCAGATGCTTTTCTGGGATGTTAGTGGAGCAGGCCCTGTGAAGGACAGCCATGCTGCTTCTTATGCAGGGAGCATGTGTGAAACAAAGCCCAATTTTGTTCTCGTGTTTGCTATATTTGCCAAGAGAACAGCTGAAAGCACAAGTCCATTGGAACTAAATTGTTATTTTTTAACATATTCATAGTTGTTGGTACTGTAAATTCTTCTGTGCAAATAATGATGGTATGTATTAATATATATATATTAATGGAGGTAGCTTTTTTTGCTTTATGGAAATAAATCCTTGAAAGTCTATATTTGCATTGGTACACTTGGGATATGCCTTTAGATATAGGAATTATTTTTATCAGATTTAGGAAAATAAATCAAAGTATATTTAAGAGAGAACAAGTAAATCTTTGTTCTCCCATAAGGAGGCATAACAGTTATAAAACATTTCTGCATAATTCACATTACCTAAGATGACCTTTATGCAGTATTCCAAATTCTAGTCCTAATTTTGCAAAAGGAAATGTTATGAGGTATCTTAGATTTCATTGTCTGTTATCCGGGACAAAACTATTCTGTTAATAACAGCATGCTTCTTCCTGCACAACAAATACGAGCTAGATTCCCAAAACCTGTCACACTGTGTTTAGGTTACCTTATATTAAGGCTGTGTATACTGCCTACTGTCAGAGAATAAAGATTAGTACTAGCAGTACAGGGTTACTTATCTATATTCTTATCAACTTGAATATGCCATGCAGAAACTTCAAATGATACAATTAATTTAGAAATAAAATATAGTAAAGCTTATATGTGTATATATATATATATATATTTCTGTATTTTATTAGATGATGAATGTAAAATTCTAGCCGCCTTTTTCCCAAAGTTTATGGAAGGATATACAACTATTTTAGAAATAAAATGCATACTATTTTCATGGAGATTTTTAATAAGTGCCAAGATCAGATGTCCTGCAAGCATCCCAGCTTGGGTGAGATCCTGACAGTGCAGGAAATCTTCATGGGACTGTGCAATCATTAATTGTCAGAAGCCTTTGACATTGGGGTGCATTCTGAACAGTAGAAATTTAATTCACATGATGTCTAGCAAGTGCTACTTGGTTATGTAAAAACAAATTAAAAGCACATGTTATCGTAAGGCCCTGGTTCTTCCCAGGCCTGCCAAGAGATTGTACAAATTGCAGTATGTTCACTGAAAGCTCTGGGATTACTCAGTGTTAAGCAGAAGCAGCAAGTGGTACTCCATATAATGTAAGATTTTGTATTTGTTTTTAATTTCCTGTACCTTTAGTAGTTCTTTCTGGTATATATTTTAAGGACCTCTGCATTTTTCATAGTTGGACCTTTCCAAAGCAAAATGTAGTGTCCTCACCACATCTTAATCTGTTTTCTACTTGATGTTAGAGATTGGGTTCTCCAGCATCAGCTAAGCCAAAGGATTTCTATGCCTAGACATAATTACAAAGAGCTATGTGTATATATAATTGTTATTTCTATTATCAGTTGGACAAATTCTGTTGTCTTTGTATGTTTCCATTGAGTCTTGCATGAGGCAAACTCCACCCTCAGCATCATAAGTTTAGCTGCAGTCAGGATTTGAAAGTTCAGGAGGGCTTTTTTTCTTTTGTATTAACAGAAAGCAAAGCACGAAATATGCATTATGTATCTTTAAGAATAGTTATGTGTGCTTCATTTTAAGAAATGTTAGTTTATATGTTTTAACTTCTTGTTCACATGTAAGCTGTAATGATTACATCTGTGATGTGCTGCTGAGCATTTGAAATGTCAGTAGAATGACTGTGATGCATCTTAAAATACAAGTTTCTGTTTGAGTACTCTAGCCAAAATGAAAGTTCTTGAACTTTTGTGAATGTCAAAGTGCATATATTTAAGAACATGGTGCTTGTTTATTCACTTTTTCAATAAGAATTATAATCAGCAGTATTTTTAGTTACCTTAGTTTCAAATCTGATGGAAATTATATTGCTTTTCATATACTGTAAGATATGCTTCACAGGATAACAACTGTGCATTTGTTCTGTATTTTTTTTAAATAAAGCTGAGTATCACTTGTATGTACTTCATACAACACCTCTGACTTGAAATCACCACTGTAGTTATAGTAGATACTAAATACTAAACTAAATACAGTGACTTAATAATATTTGTGTCATCTCATGTCATGACATGATACAAATCAGAACTCACAATAAATAGTGTGATAGCTCATATAGTTTTTATGGAAGGGGAAAAAAAAATTGACGATCGTGTTGTATGCTTAAAACCTTTATTTTTTCCAGTGGTCTGAACATGTGCATCATAGTAGTTTCCTATTCACTTCCTACAATGATTTAGGTGCTGTATAATTAATGAACATACAGATGTTATAATTATGAGATATACCAGAGAGTTTGGCTAAGCAGGTTATTACACCAAAATAAATAGGTAGGTAGGTAGGTAGGTAGGTAGGTAGATCACTCACCCTTGTCCTGGGCTTGCTGTAAAACTCCAAAGGAAGAATCTCCAGAAGAAGATCCTTCCCTAAGGCCTGGTAGTCAGCTAGTTCTTAAATGAGTCTAGGAGAGGTGGAGCCAGGCTCCACTCCTTCCGGCAGCACAAGTGAATTGCCTTCACCTGTGCTCCCAGGCTGACTCATTGCTTGCCTCAGGTGATTAATCAGAAGTTCAGGCTGTGATTCAGCAGTTCCCATACAGGCACTGTGACTGTTCCCATATAGACAGTGCTAAACCAGAGCTGATGCTGGGCTTGATTTCCAGAGGGAGTGATCCCTCAGCTTCCTTCAGTACCAAGCCTTGTCCTGGAAGCAACCAGACTCAGAGCTGCACGAATGTTACCTCTCTTTTCCCTTTTTGGAGGAAAAAACCCAACCAAACAAAAAACTTGGGAGTTCTGTCATCTAGTGCTGTGTCCTGAGGATTGAAATGACTGAAAACTAACTAGCATTTGAAAGACTGTCACTTAGGATACCTACTTACATACATAACGTAGGAATGCTGAATCTGGGCAATAGATAACGATAGCCTTGAGATACAAAACTGCACTCCCAGCATGAAGTTGCTCTTGTTTTGTAGACTTGGGTCACTATCTTTGTTCACAGATTTAAAAGAAACTGTGATTTTGGTCTTCTTAGGGTGCACTGCAACTCTTCTGATATTTATAAATGAATATAACAAGTTCTCAGTGTGTATCCATTAAAAATAGGAAACTCAGAATGTATAAAAACTCTTTCTTAATTGTATGCCTATATGGCAAAAGGTATGTACCAATCAGCTTGAATATGTCCTGAAATGAATGCAGGTGGGCTGCTGCTGCTAGTGCTAGTACTGTATTTCTCCATATGTACCAGTATGCGGGGCTCTGTCAGCATTGCATCTTTGACCTGGCCTGTGCATGAGAAGTGAAATTTGACCTAAGGAGGCACATACGAATTGCAATTACAGCAGTTTTGCAGATGATATGATGGAAAATAAATGCTCTTTAGCCAAAGAGAGGCTATGAACATTTCCTGTGCATGTTTACATTTTATACTGCACATCTTTACTGAACCATCATCTCCATGGTTCACTTTCTTTAAAACAAAGAGTGATAATGTTTTCAGAATCGGATACGTGATGGCATTGTAGTTTTTAACAGTGGAAATAACCTTAGCAATAGCAACACCCGTCATAAAGCAGCTTCTCCTGAGCAGGATTCCTTCTGGGAATGTCTTTGCTATAGCAGTCGGGAGTGAAAATGACTTCACAGTTACTTTTCTCCCTTCAGCCACATTGATCAGAGCCAGCCACGCACCTGCAGGGCCGCCTGTGAGGCGGCAGAGATGCAGTCTGCACAGCTCCCACCTGCGCCCGCTGACCCAGCACGTTTGTGACTGCAGGCCGAAGACAGCTTGCAGTACAAGACGCGCGTGGCATAGGTGTGCTGTCCCGCGTGCGACCTGCTGTCTTTCCCTCAGCGAAGAGCCCTTCACCGCTCGGTGCCGCTCAGCCGAGAGGGGCGCGCCCGGAGCGGGCAGCCCGCGGCCGAGGCCCCCGCTCCCCGCACCGGCGAGCTCCTCCCCGCCTCGAAGGCGCCGCCGCGCCCGCCCCGCCTCAGCCCAGCGCCCCGGCCGCTCTCGCCATGCGGCTTTGGGTGCTGCTCAGCCTGCTGCTGCTGCAGGAGACGCTGCCGCACGGTGAGCCGCCGCGACCCCATCCGCGCCGCCACCGGCGGGCCCCTCCCGGCCTCCCCGCCTCGCGCTCCGCTGCCCCCGCCCGCCATGTCGGGGGCTGGCGGCCATCTCGGGCGGTGGGGGCTCCCGTCCTGCGTGGCTGCCAGCGAACCGGTGTCTCTGGCAGGGGATGCGGTTTGTTCGGGGCAGGGAGTTGGGATGGAGGTGGCGGGAGGCGTCGTCGACAAAAGCCGCTGCCTCTTCGTCTCTCTCAGACACGGCGCTCAAAGCCGGCGCTCGAGTCCCGCGCCTGTCCTGAGGAGAGTTGGCGCTGAGCTCGGTGCTCCGTTTCATAATAACGCTAATGTCACTTAGTGAAAGAATACCGCTTCAGACCCCGAGGCGTTTCTACGCGCCGCTGGGAAGAGCTCTTGTCCCCGCCCGGGAACAGCGGGGTTCGTCTCCCACTCCACAGCCTGTGAGGAGCTCTCGGTGCAGCCGGGAGTTGGGTCCCGTTTGGTGCTGGCGGTGGAGGATGGAGCAGGGGCTGGTTCGTGTCTGCCGGGGACGAGTTGTGACTTCTTTTTAAATTATTCTAACTTCTGTGAGTTTTGTGTGCAGTTGCTCTCTTGGTAGGAAGGATAGAACTTTGTTCTTAACTCAGCATCAAGTTGTGATGAGTTCTTGGCAGGGAAGGGGTTAGCTTTTGGCTGGGGAAGGAAGCTCCTAACCAAGCCTTGGCTTATTTAGACTTTAACATCAAGAGAACTTAGATAATTCCCTACAATTCATGATGTGGCTCTGGCCAATGGCTTATCCTCTTCTGAAGCTGCCAGCTGTTACGTGATCAGTGGGATGTGATGGAGAGGGAAAGCAGGCACTGTCTTCTGCTGCTGCAGTTTGCAATATGTTGTCAAGGAAATATCTCAGAGCGATGTCAGGGCTTGGGGCAGGCTGTGTGAAACTGGGGGTCTGTGGAGAGGTCTGGGCTCAGGGGTGCATGGGGAAAGGAAAAGAGGCGCTTCCGTCATGTGGTCTGGGGAATACAGGCAAAAATTACTGCAAGGACATAAAAATACTTTACCCCAAGAGCTGTTAAATGTGTCTGGGGAGGCTATAAAGCCTCTGGCCTGTGAGACAGTCAGAATGCCCCCAGCAACCAGGCTGGGGTAGGAAGGGGCTTCCAGGAGTCCTTTCCAGCAGTTTTTCTTATGACCGTTTGTAAAGGAATTACATCCTAGACAAGGAGGTGCTGTACTAGTACTGTGGTGTAGAAGATCTTGACTTAAAGATCTGTGGGTGTACGTTGCCACATCAAGAGAAGTGTTTTCTATTTGAGACATAGGCAACAAAAACTCAGAATGAGAAATAAGTTGCAACTTGTGTATTTATGTATTTATGTATTTGTCTGATTCAGTACAAGTGGTTGCAATTTTTTGTGAGCTCCCAAGACGTTTGTCAGAGATTTATTTTTCTTATGAAGCTGTACTCTTCCCATGCTTCATCCGTGAAAGTAGATGTTTACAAATGTAAGTACTGCCAAAAAGTGGTGACATGAATAAGGCATGACTGTGAAGTGAGAGGTATCTTTTTCTGGTAAAAGAGGTCTTATGGAAGTGTAGTAAGGAGACATGATGAGATTTTTGAGTTGAATATCTGATTACACCCCTATGCATTCTGTTTGAAAATTTGCAGGTAATGTATGTCAACTGAAAATGGAGTTGCAAATATATGAGGGGGGAAAAAAGCGTTGCTTTTTTTTTTCCTTTTGCAAATTTGAAACCTATTGTCAAGTTCCTTTATCAAAATGGGAAAGCACAGCTACGTGTTTTTTGCTGTTTACAGGACTATGTTTAGCCAGTGTATCAAAATACATACACTTGTTTGCTGTAAATCCAGCTAGCACTGCACCCACCCCATGCCCTGGTTTCAGCTCAGTGTTCATGGTGCACTGATGTTGGGCTGCTGCTGAGCGATGGCTGCGTGCTGCCGTGCTGGTGTGGGGCAGGCAGGGCTGGGCTGCCTGTGGGCTGCTTGTGGGCTGGATGCAACTGCTCCTAGAGTGTCACAAGCAGAGCTGCGTCCAGCCTGTTTTGTGCTCTTAATTATGGTCACAGAGACTAACTCTCATCCTAGTCTTGGGGTTAAGGATTATGCTTTATGACAACCTGCTGCTTAATTTTCTTCAAGGAAGAATTCACTGGTAGTAGTGCGAGTTGAAAGCTCTCTGATGCTGCAGAGATGTAGCATGGGACCTGCCTTGTGAAATGGGTATGTCTGCTGGGTGAGGAGCACAATTGCTCTGCTTCCAAGGTTTCTCAGTGGATTCTTGAAGACCACCATAGACATTCTCTAGCTTTAATCCAAGCTGATGGAAGCATGTGTGTGGATGTAGGCGATGCCTTTGGTCAACACTGGATGCACTTAGCATTCTATGATTAATAATTATGGCATAATTTTTGTACATGGTGTTTAAAAGAATGATGGGGTGAGAAACATTAAAGAATAGGGTAAGCTAAATCCTTTGAGCCAGGAGAAGAAGTGCAGTGTGGCATGTTTCTGAGACATATTGATGCACTGTCTCCTGTGTGGGCATGAAGGGTTAGCTAGGGATCTGGAGAGTACTGCTGCAGAGGAAGTGGGTACAGTGCATCGGGGAATTGCTGTTTGGAGGAGATCAGAGGTAGAAAGGAAGAATTTTCTCAATGTTTATCTACTAAGTCTTATTTTTTCCTTTAATCTTGTTTTTTAAATAAGAAGTACCTTTACTTACTTGGGTATAAGTCTTCTGAGAGGCTGAAGTACCCCAAATGTGATGTATTCCCAAACCCGTGTAAATGGACGAGTTGAGTTTGTTCATTTCCTGGGAAAGTCCTGTAGTTTTTGGTGCCTGAATGGAGGACTCTGGTAGGTTCTTTGTTTCCAGATGACTTTGGTTGCCTGTTTCCTTTACAGACAGACTGCAATACTAGATAATGTAGTTAAAGGGCAAACTGAGATCTGGCCCAGCAATGAGAGGGGACTGATTACAAGGCACAGGAAGCAGTGATATTGGTGGATATCAGGGCAGACTCCAAAGGAGAGTTGGGAAGGAGCATGGCCGTGGCTTACATGCAAGGTCACATCTCAGGGAAGTGCAGAAGAGAAGCAAAGCTTCAGCATGGGAAGACAAAACCCCCTGTAATTATAGTGCTTCCTGAAATGTCCTGCTGTTACCTGTAGGGAAATGCCAGGTCAGAAAGGCAAAGTCTCAATGTTCTGGGGAGAGTGGAATAGGAGGAAAGTGTTTCTCCAGTTCCCAGTGAGCCTAAACATGTGGAACAGAGGGAGCCTGTGTGGAAAGGAAAAACTTCATCTAAAGAAAATTGAAACCAGGCTTCTGGCACTCAACATTGGAGCACACTCACGAAACTTAACAGTTTCGTAGCGGCAGTGTCAGGTGTGGAAGAGGACTGTGTTTCTCTAGGGCTCCCTGTGGGGACAGGGTGTTGTCAAACACATGTAGAGATTGGGGTTGGCAGAACAGTGTGGCAATGGCATGTTGACAAATAGTCTGATTTAATTAGGGTTAAAAGAAGGAGACAGAAACAAAGCTTGTGTGTTTCCAGAAATGCAGTGGGGAAATGGAATGGATGGCTTGGAATGGGAATGCTTATGCCTTGAACATCAGGCACAAACTGTGCAGGGAAGAGGAAGGAGCCTGCCCTGAGGGAGAAGTGGCAGTTTCTTTTGAAGAATGCTGTGGTCTCAAATATGGTGCCTGGTGAGCTTTGTCAGTAAAAGCCATCTGAACCAAGATAGAAGCATTACGAAGGAAAAGCAGTGTGGTGTGGCCAAGGGGATGGCTGATTGTTAGGGGAAATGGAGCAGCAAGGACCGCAGATAGCAGCACAAGAATTACTAGCTGGTGCAGGCTGGCTTGTGTGCATTGGGGTGTGATCTGCCAAATGCCATAAGTGGTGGGCTTTTAGGGCAGCTGCTTGGAGAGGAGCAGCAGCTCCTGACTTGCTCCTGAGCAGTGCTCACGATTGGATGCAGATGTGGCTTTAGAGCAGCCAGACTGTAGTTTTAATATTCTTGCAGGAATAATAGAAGCCAAAGAGCAAACTGTTGCATTTAATTTGAGAAGGGGGAATAACATAAGATGAGGAGGCTTCTTAACTCACATCTGAGTTAAATATAAAAACCAGAATAGGGCAGACAGAAAGTTTGAGAAACAGCTTGCAAAAGGGATAAAACACAACCATAAATCCTGTTCTTCTGCTGATGTGCTGGAGTGAGGCAGGAAGAGACAGCCATGAACTTTGTGAGGCCCATAGGAACGGGCTGCTACAGAAACTAAACCTGTAAATTATGCATCTAATTGTACGCATCCGTGTTCTCTGTGGAGGTGCCTATGGAGGTTTTACTGGAAAATGGTGATAAAATGAACACAAACTGGAAAGTGCAGTATCTTACTGAGCGCTGGAATAGCGCCTGTGAGGCAGAATGTTTCTCTGTGGAGGAATCATTAGAGGACATCTCTCATTAATGTGCCAAGAAAGTTGATTCAGAGCAAATCAACAAAGCATGTGATTTTCAACATGTTTATAGATCCGCTTTAAAGCAAACAAAAAAACAAGCAAACAAACCTGTCAGTAAAGACTTTGAGAAGGATTTCCAAATTCTAAAACTGAGACTTAAAATTTTGTGTTGAAAGATACAAACAAAAGAATGACTCAAACGTTGTAAGCAGATTGATGGATTGATCCCTGAGTAGGAATTACTGCATAGTTGTTGTTACTTCATAGGTTGATCTAGAAGTTACTCTGCATTATTCTAGAGAAAGGCAGCTCCCTGTGGTTGAATTGCTTTCTGGGAAAGCAGTAAGCCATTTAGCTAGGAACAAAGGCATCACCAGTTGTACATCAGTGATGTGACCATATGTTGAACCTAGTGTACAGCCTGCTTTTACTTTCTTTCCCTTACACAAAGATGATGAAGATGAACTATTTTTCATATGTATGGGTTCCATAAAAAGAGCAACTAAATGGAGCAAGGCTTACCGGTCCAGAAGGGATTTGTTTGAAGCATGCTGCCGTGCTGCAAAGGCACGGATGCTGCCAACAGTGCAGTCTGTACCAGCTGTAACCCATGCTTATCAGCATACTTTAAGTCCATAGTGGGCTTTTTTCTTTGATTCGTATGATAAAATGCCAGAGTATTTCATATGGAAAAACTGTATTCAGCATGAATTAGCTGTCAGGCAAAGGTGTAGAGTTTTTGCTGCCTAAAATAAGAGTTTTAGGCTAATTCACAAAATATTGTGCTTTCTGCTGTCAGTTACAGCATAAAAAAATCTTCATGATTGATTTACTTAATTATTTAGAGGCTGGGATTTTAATGACTGCTCTCTCCACCTTTCTATTTATTTATTTATTTATTTATTTTGTTGTTGTTGTTGTTTGTTCTCCCCTTCTTTTTCTTCTCTGTTCTTTTTAAGGCTTATGTGCATGTGGCACATGGTGAGAACAGATAGCAGCTGTGTGTGAGCCTCTGAGATCAGTCACTGCACTGCTGGGAAATAAGTGCACCTTTTAAGCAACCACAGCATGCATCTCAGCTCCTGCTGGACAGGTACACTTGGGATCATTTGGTGAGCTCATGCTTTTCCAGAACAGTTAATGTCATATATGGGCTTATAAACAGAGCATAGAGACCTGAAGGCAAAAAAGGTGAAACGAGAGTTGTACATGCTTAGGAAATGTTTATTCACACAAATACCTATGTATGTGTAACTGGTCCTCTGAAAAGTGGTCCTCATTCTCCTCTACCCAGCGTCCAGCTGAGACCCTGAGAAGTACAATTCTGTTGTTACACATTTGAGTTGTTTTTCTTGCTTTCCTCTCAGAAACATTTTGCAGAAGTGCTTTTTGGAAGCGACTTGCATGTGACAAAAGGAATCTTTATTCTCTACTTGATCATTGGTTAGCTTTGCTGCAACACTTCAGCTGAGTTAAGGGGTTCTAGAACAAAGATGATTTTTCATTCACTGTAAACGTTCAGCCTGGAGACGGCTGAAATCCCTGTTAAAAATTATACTTTAAATTATAACTTTATGTGAATCAGATTGAAATAGCTCACTTTTCCTTTGCTTTGTTTTAAAAGGCTGCTGTTGCCTCTGGCAGGTAATGGAATCTCTTCTGCTTCTGTTTCCATCTGCTCAGTAAAGGTAAATGGCCATTATAGAGATGTGATGTATTAGATACTACGTTCAGGTGACTTCAGTACTATTTGTAATTTCACAGTACTTAACCAAAAAGAAAAACAAACCTGCATTGTTACTAGCATTAAACAAATCACCATTCGGTTCCTTACTTCTCAGTGTTTTTTTCCCATGCCTCTTACAGCAGCACAGCATTTTTAAAGGTTATACAGGACTGATGTGTTACATACATATGAAGATAGGACACTTGTGTAATGCTGCACGATAAACGGCAGTGATATGGGGTAGCATAGACAAAAGTAACTGGAGAGAAAAGTGCTGTATTCCTTTCCCTTCCCATCTTTTGCGAAGTCCTCATGCCTTACATATTTGCCTGTTTATGTGACCTGCAAGTATAGATTTTCCACATGTTGTTGAAAGCTCTTTTTTTCTGTCCAGGGAAATGAGTCATGTCACTGACTTCAGAAACTTACTGAAATTAACTCTCATTTTTCTGAATCCCTTACAGGAAGAACAGAGTATTATTATTCTCTTTAATAATAAAGAAAAACAATTTGCAAGAAGGCTTTTTTTTTTCCTAATTGTAACACTGCTGCCTTTCCCTTATTTTACCAGTTATTGGACAGTCTGTGAAAAGTAAGCGTCAAAAAGAGCCAGGGGAAAACAAAATCAAGCCTATCAACAAAAAAGTAAAACCCAAGGGCCTAAAAATGAAGGAGAGGGAACCTATCGACTCTTCCTCCAAGTCCCAGTCCATACTGATGCAGGTGATGGATAAAGGCCGTTTCCAGAAACTGACTGCCACTTTAAGCCTGTCTGCTGGACAAAGCATAGAACTGCGATGTAAGGGGAGTAATGTGACTTGGAGCTATCCTTCATACTTGGACACCTTTAAGGACTCCAGACTCAGGTATTTTTCCGTATTCTGGGGGAGAAAAAGTAATCAAGGTGTTTCACGTAGTGGTTACTTGTCTATAAGCATCTTTCAGTCTTCTTCCTTCTGTGATGTACACTGTGCAAGAGTCTTGTTGCATGTGAACTGGATTTCCTTTAGATTAATCTAAAATGATCCAGGGGGACACCGGTGTGTTCCAGCCACTAACAGAGAGCTACGTAAGAGTGAGGCTGAAGTAAAATCCTGAAAATGTATGAGGGTGGATGTCAGGCACTGACTACTGGTTCTGATGCTCTACAGACCTGCTGCTGTTGGGATGTTGCTACTGTAGATATCAGCTGAGACAAAAAGATTAATTTCCTGAAGAGGTTAATACCCATGTCTCTCAGCTTGCAAAACAAAAAATATACCAAGCACCACTCTAAGGAGCAAGTGGGGTTAGTCCTTCCCTCTCCTATCAAAGTCATGCATGAGTGCTGGGGGAGTTGCAGGATTCACAGTGCAGAAGTGTGACAGAGCTTAATGTTGAGATAGATGATCACCTTCGGTTTAGGAAGGCGTTTTCTTTCATCCAGTGTCATCTTAATGGATACTGCATACACAGTTGTGAGAGTAGCAGGAGGATCTAAGCACTTTCTCCCTCTCTCTGCCCCACCAGGTGAGTGGCCTGTTGATCTAAAATCTCTGAAACCATACATTTGTTGGCCTTCCCAGTTCTCAAGCACAGTACATGCATAGCTAAGTCTAGATTGAATGTAATAGTCTCTTTCTGTATTTGAAAGAGGAAGGACTTACAAAGGAGCTCAGGGATAGCACTTATTTTGCCAAGAGCTTGTTTTCCCTGCTTGTTTTGTGGAGGTTTATGTTTGGGTATCATTGAAGGACAAGTGGTTGAGAGACTGAGGAGCTCTGTGAATGATGCCCTAAGAAAGAGCTGAAAAGAGAATTGCTTACGTTATTAGGTAAGAGCAGTATTAGTGTGAGGGAAGTCCTACTATCCTTTTGTTCCTAAATTAAGTAAAAGTTTGTGGGCTCTTTGTAAATAGCTGAGGTTACCTGAATCTTTGTGACACATTCCCCTTCCTTACAATCATGGAGATACTTTGAAGTCACAGTCAGTTAATTACTTTCCACTTCTGTTTTCAAAGAATAAGGTTAAAAATTGACAGGTATATCCTGTGGTCTGTCATGTATCCCTTTGAATTCATGAGCTGGTTTGCTTGTTTCCTGACACCTAAGGAGTTCCAGAATAAATTGGCTGAATAAACCTCTATAGTGTGAGGCTCCTATAAATCATAACAACAAGCCTATTTCTGCTAAGGGTTTATCATGGCAGCATCTCTCAAAAGATCTTCTGGCTGATTTGAACAATTGTGTTTTCATTTACGACAAATATTTTGTTCAAAATTTATTTTATATATACTTAACATATTTTATTTGATAGGACAGAGGGAATGGTTTTAAATGAGATTTGTAGATTTGGGTTAGATGTGAGGAAGGAATTTTTTACTGAGTGTTGAGGCAGTGGCACAGCTGCCCAGAGAGCTGTGGGTGCCCCATTCCTGGAGGCACTCAAGGTCAGGTTGGATGGGGCCCTGGGCAGCCTGAGCTGGTGGGGGGCAGCCTTGCTTAGGGCAGGGGGTTGGAACTGGATGGTGTGTGAGGCCTCCAACCTAAGCCATACTATGAAACTATTCCAGTAGGTGGCACACGTCAGCTGCAGAACGGGCCTGGCCTTTTAGCAGGCCAAAGAGTGCAGTGCAAAATCCTACTGAAAGGGAGTGCCACGCATGTGGTGGTAGTGTCCATTTTGAAGTCTGTCTCACCCTTAGAAGGCGTGCATGTAGGCTACTCGCCTGCACTGGGCTACGTATATGGCCCTATAGACTTCCAGGTCTCAGTGTTAACATCTGGCATTGAAGAAGGCAAGAAGTATTCACAGTTCTTAAGAGAGGAATCTGAATTTTACTTCATTACTTGTTTTGACTGCCTGTTCTTCTCTTGTATTATTCTAGCCATAGAAATGGGGTAAAAGAATTAAGTAAGGATACACATTTTCTAGTTTTGTAATTTATTATTTTGCAGTTTAAAGTAGCTTAAAGTTCTTTACCTCTCTGTTCTCATTCAAATTCACAGTAGTATTTTGTAACAGTAAAACAAAAGTTGATAATTTCAGGGTAATAAATGCTACCTAACTTCTTGGCTGGATGCATGTAACTTGCTTAAGTATTGTATTTTAGAAATATGTTAGGCTTCTATTTAAGGATCTATACTGAAATATTTTTAAGTAAGTTATTGAAGTCAGAAGACGAAGTTAAATTGAATCAACTATTTAGTTGTAAGCAGAATACTCTATAAGTAACTAGAAAAACTGAAGACATGGATAAGTAGCATGCTTTGGACTTACTGAATGGGGATAATTTATGGAGACATTGACAACCAAATCTTGTGCAATTACATTTTCATTATGGTTTTTATGATATCTTTTTTATCTCATGGTGTTTGCTACTGTGCTAACAGATGTATGCAAAACAGTCTGCTTCATAGAATTTGTATTCCTTGGCTTTCAAAGGCTTTCATTGAACATAACTGAAAATATCATGAAGTCCCTATTTACTTAGCACAGCTGGCAGTCTTTCTAAGTGAGCTGGCAGTAGGAAGCATCATTAACAAAGTTACCATCTTTCTGTGAGATAGAAGAAACCTGAAGGGTCCACAGTGGTGATGGTGTGTGTATCTGTTGGCCAGAGGCTTGGGCAGCTGCTGATGCTGAAGGTGCTGAGGTCTGCTTTAGGATAAGGAGGGCATTTTGGTTTGTAGCTACTTAAATTTAGCATCTGGGTAATGCATTTCCTATGGATGGTAACAAGAACAAGTGGGGATAAAAGTCACCTGTTTTCCTCCATGCCATGCTGATTACCTCTTTATCTCACCAGTATGGAAAGTAAAAGACAGCAGCTTGGAGGGCAGTGGCTTTTCTAAGAAGAAAAAGGTAATCTTTACAAAAGATGTTCTTGTAATACCCATGGCTGTGGTTTCTTTGAGTTTCTTTTTGCAGGTATACTTTACAACTTTGTACATAAAGTGGTTTTGTTTGGCACTGTTGGAGAGCGTGGGTTTTTCATATTTCTATAGCTGCTGACATTTCCCCAAATTACCATGTGGGGCTTCATCAGGGAAGAGGCTGAGTGGAAGTAGGAGGAGGACTCTTTGGCTGTTTCTTATCTTGAGTAGGAATCCTCTTTCCTATCCTGCCTGGAGGATGCACACTGAGACTTTGGAGACTGTAGCAAACAGTGCAGCTCTAGGGAGAGAGCTAAATTGTGTAGATCTGTCGAGTTGGGGGCACCCACCAGCTTGCTTCTGAACCAGCTTATTGTCTGCAGTGCTGTCCCACCCTGTGCAGCATGAATACATCCTCATGCCTGAAAGGTTTGTGTGCCAGCTGAGCAGTGCAGCCAAAATGTAATGGCTGCAGTGCTGTATGGTGATACATAATAGATCAGTGACTGCAGGCCCGACCAGAAACTGCATGTACAGAGTGTGAGAAGGATCAAAACCAGAAAGGAATAAAGAAAAAGAAGGGCAGGCATGTTTTCACTTTCTAATGTTTGAGAGCAAAAAGCCTCTCTAGACAAAGATGGTCTGGCATCAGTCTGTGCCATGTTTAGAGCATGGGCCTCTGCCATCTCAAAACATGACTGTATTTATTGCTGAGTTTCACCTGGTAGATAGATCTTTGTGGAGTGGAACTGCTGCAGTGGAAGAAGCTGTGGCAGAGGTGGGTATGTATTGTGTGCATACTGGTACCCAGGCTCTAGGTATTGAGAAAATAGGAGTGGTACAGGGCAGAACTGGGCTGCTGTGAATTAAGACAGGCTCACTGAGTGGTTTGTTATCTGTGTCTAACCAAGTGTCACTCAAGTGCATGTGCTCTGAAGTCTGTAAGCTGTTAGGTTTTTCTTCTTGCCTTAAGCAGTCAGGATGTTCTGTCCCTCTCCTTGTGTTTTAGATAGCTCCATTGTGGCAGTACCAGTGTAGCTGCTTGAGTTTGCTAGATGTTCTGAAGTGAAGCCATGCACACTGTGTTGTTTTCCTTTAGTTTTTTCTAGCTTCTAAACTCTGCACAGCTTTTCTGGCAAAGTTCTTTTGAACTTAAAATAACTGAAGCTTAATAAGGAGAGTGTACGGAAAAGGATTTTGAAGGTTTGTGTTGTTTTGGTTTTCTTTTTCTTTGAATGGTCTCAAAAAGATTCTGTATACAGCGTTTTTACTTTGTGATATGTAAAGCATAGCAAAGCTTTGGCTTTTGAGAAAAATTTCTCATCATTTAAATACTAGTGAAATGAAAGCTATCCTAGAAGTACAGATCAGTTGGATGAATTTGCCATTTACAGCCTGCTGCATGTGGTTTGTTTTGTCTGCTTAGCAGGGCCATGCCACATGCCTCAACATTTCCACTCTTTCAGTTGCCAGGTTATGTTAGTGCATGTTTGTGGAAGTACTTCACTGGGCTATTTCCATTGATTAGTGGATAGCTTGTTCCCAGTTAAGTAGAACACACTGTGCAATAATCTATTAACTCTGACCTTGTTTTTCTCTTTTTTGTCTGTTGGGATTTCAAGCCGTAGTTCAGTGCCTGCATTAATGGTTGGAGGCTAAATGTTCTAGCCTAATGGATTCTCTACAATGTTGATGTTAGTGCTTGCAAAATATATTGTGCCATTGGAGCCATGTAGCTTATGAACTGTGAGCTGTGGATGTAGATAATCATAGAGACACCAGCATGGAAACACTTCAGATTTCTCTTTTCTTCTTCTTGAGTTTTATACACAAGAGGATCTCCTGTGCAACTAGGAATTGTTCAATGCTTATTGAAGAACTGAAAACATTTGTAACGTAAGGTGCATGAGAGAAATGAAAATGAATGAAAACGTTACTTTTCCCATTTTTCAAATGGTGGAATCAGATGAGGTCATTTAGGACAAGTGCAGTGGCAAGTAGGAAGCATGTTTTGCCTGTTTTTTTAGGCAGCTCTCAAAACTGCTGTGTGATGGATGAGTGTAAAAAAGCTGAAGGCTTTGGTGGGAAAAGGTCATTCTCACCCTGTTTGGGTTGCTTTCTGGGTGTGTTTTAATTTCTAAGCTCCCAGCCTTGGCTGAAGGCTGCATGTTGGGTTATGCAAGCCTTGGCTAATGCATAGCAGCTGTGAGTGCAGTCTCTTAGCAGAGTGCCCAGGGAGCTGGAAATGTCAGGAGCTGTGTGTAGCTGAAAGCAGCAGCTTCTTTGGTGACACGAATGTGAGTGGTTAGCAGGAGGGTGCCCACAACCGAGATGTGGGCTAAGAGGTCTGCAGTAATGCTTCAGTAACACAGTAACAAGTTGGTTTGGAGGAGAAAAATGCCTTTAAAGCTTGCTAATCCCCCAAATAAAGAATTTGGTAAGTCTGCATCTGCCTTAAAAAACAAAAAAATAATAATAATAACTGCTGCATTAACAGAAAGAAACAGGAGGAAGGTAAGTAGAGAGGGAGCACACAGCTTAGCAAGACTACAGGAACTTCATGCAAGCTGTGTCCAGGCCCAGCCTCAAATGCTGAAAAGGAGTTTGCTATTAAATGCCTAAAACTGGAAAAATCTCTCCTGACTTGATTGCAATAGAAATGACCCTAGAATTCAATATCTTGCAAAGGAGAGCAAGAAACCTTTGTGTTCTGGCTGTGCTGCCATGCAAAAGCAGGTGGTTGAAAATAACTTTTTTAGAGGTTGGGGCTGCAGTGCAATGCATTGCTGCTGCCACACGTCTGTCCTGACAGTGCCCACAACCAGCTTCACTGTGGGACCGATCCTTTCGCAGACGGCAGCGTAGCATGTGCTACGGACTCTGATGCTACCTGTCTGAAAGAGCCAGGAGAGCAAAGACAAAAATAAATAATGACACCGTGCCTACCGAATTTCATACATGGGACCCTTAGAAATACAGCTATTAGCTGTACAAACAAATCAATTTACAATTTCAATCCAATGAGAGACTTTGGGGAGAAGGAGGAAAAAGCGGCTGAGTTTTTTTATGTAGTTGCCTCGTGATACTGCTAGCATACTTCCAGCAGTGCCCAGGAATACTGATGTAGCCAGGGGATGAAGAGGAAACACAGTGACAGGGTTGAAATGAGATGGAGTGGAGCAGAGGAGGAGACAAGGACAAAATGAGTTGAGATTGAAGGTGTTTGTGATGGAAAGCTGGACCGCTGTGTTAAAGACAGGGAAGTGTTCATGCTGACAAATGGCATAAATCGTTGAACAAACTGCCATTAAAGTGGCTGCTGCTCACCAGTGGTGAAGTATACTACTGAAGCAGTGATGCAGCTGAAGTAAATGGTATGAAGGAAAGGAATGTGATTACATGGCTTGATTTAGAGTGTGAAAATATGGGATATATTTGGACAACTGAAACAACATAAACACACTGTCTAGGGCAATCACAGCCCATTTTCAAAACAAGGATTTTGGAATGAATTCAGGAGTTAACTATATGTGATGAAAGCTTGCCATTGCTCATGCATAGAGTTGAAATCAAAAGCTGTTCATGTATGGGTCTTTGCTGGGACAAAGGGGGGTGCTGCAACAGAACTCTGTAGGAGAAAAATGTATCTGTTGCAGAACAGGAATTAAAAAAAAAATCAAAAGTATAAATGATCTGACAAAAATGTGCAAGGAAACACACTTGTGCTTGGCTTTGCCTTTTGTTTTTCTTCACTCCAGTATAAAGCAGTTGGACAGGTATGGTCAGCTGATCCTTACAAACTCCACTGCAGCAGACACAGGTGAATATAGCTGCTGGCTTCAGCTGTGCAATGGTAACAAATGCAGGAAGGATGAGACAAAAACAGGTTCAACGTACATCTTCTTCACAGGTAATTAATTATTTGGGGGATTATTAATATATAATATTGTGAAAATATATTTGCTAGTAAATAATAAGTCTATATCAAATCTTTCGTTGTCAAGATATTTTTCCCCACAATTTTAGGATTTTTTTTTTTAAATAACAAATGTTATGGGAGGAAGTGCTGGTGAAGTTTGCAGACAGTTGCTTGCTTTGTGTGATTTGTGAGCCCGCTTTCCCTATGGATTATGCTAAATGCATACCTGAGATAATGCATAATACAATGGAATCAAATACCTCTGAAAATACTGACGTGCTGAGAACCTTCTGCAGAATGAATCCACAGAATGTTTACCTTATGAAAATGTGTTTTGGTAAGCAAAATAACAGAACAAGTCTTCTACACAGAGTTATGACATTAGGTGACTCCATGTATTCTCTCCTAACCCCGGTATATTTCCAGTTACCTGAAGCTAATTTAAAATCTTGGCCTCATTAATACTGGTGAAGACACAGTTTCTCCCCAGCATCTGTGTAGCATGTTGAGAGGCAAAACACCCTGCAGAGGTGCATTGCCCTGCAGAGCCTGAAATCGGCTGTATCCTCAACACGACAGGGGTAGGGGCATCATAGAGTAAATAACTGTGTGCAGTTTACTGCTGCTTGGTGCAAGAGTGAAAATCAAATGGTTAATTTGTTCTTCTAATGGAAATATTTCTCAGTGGCAGAGAAACCTTTGCTGCATTATTAGAGCTAATGCATTCTTAGCTAGTGAATGTTCCAGTCCAAACGTTAAGATAGGATTGTTTGCAATAGGTTTTGGAGCTAAAGAAGACCATGAGGCTGCACTGAATCCATTTATCAGAGCTGCTTCATGTTCCAAGGATACGTTCCTTCAAAAAGGCTGAAATAAACTTCTCAGTCAAGTTACTATGCTAAATGCTTAAGCTAGAAAGAGGAAATTGAACCTTATGCAGAGCATATCAAATATGGAAATACTCTGTAACTGTCTGTCTAAAAGTAGTAAACATTTCAGTTATTTGGGAAAGAAGTAAATAAGTTTTATTTAAAATCATGTGTATTAAAAGGCTATGGCTGCTCCAGATACAAAAGTAAATCCAATGAATGGATGTTTTTTTTCTTGTATATTTGAAGCAAAAAGCTTTGTGTTCATTTCTAACGTTGCCCATTTTCTCTTCTTGCTGCTAAGCCAAGATCTAAATGTTATCCTAACTACTTCATCTGTTTTGCATAGATAAAGAGGAACTTTTTGTGCCTACTCCCAGTTATTTTGAGATTGTCTACCTGAACCCAGATAAACCTGCTGTCATCCCATGCCGTGTCACTACTCCTTCAGCAAAAGTTACTCTACACAGGGAATTCCCAGCAGAAGAAATTGAAACAGATGAAACTAATATTATTTATGATGCAAAGAAGGGCTTTGTCTACCAGCACCCTACTTCTGATCATAAAGGTATTGTCTACTGCAAAGCAGAGTCGCAGGGAGCGCCTCAGATTTCCATCAAGTATCACCTACTCTATGTGGAAGGTAAGGTGATGTTTCCTATATGCTTACATCGACTCCCGTTTCTTCTGCTGGCATTAGAAAACAAGTTTTAAAAAGTGGATTTGTAAAATGAGTGAAGTAGTCACTGAATTTTGAAATCTTCATTAAAAGTGTATGTGATAAAATCTTATTGGTGTGAGCTCAAGCAGTTTCCCAGTGTAGGGTGGAAAGCTGCAGATATACATCACTTAACTGTTTCATTAGGCAAGCTGTGCATCAGCTTGCCTCTTGACTGTGTTTTATCAATAATTTCATATCAGAAAGTGACTGATTTCCTGTTTCCTAATGCTGTTCTTCTGTCAGTCCCCAAGGGCCCACCCTCAGCCACGATTGTGGCATCACCCAGTAGAGCCAAAGTCAGCGATGGTATCCACGTAGCCTGCACTGTCCTTGGGGAGCCAGATGTAGATGTGAGCTTCAGCTGGCAGTACCCAGGGCAGGAGGTAAGAGATGTCTGCCTTGGCTGAAATGCTTTTTGTTCTTCGTAAGGGCATTACTTTGGAATGTGGGAAGAGTTTGGCAGAAGAGTCCCTGTGTCTGGAGTCCATATGAAGTTGGGAAGGAAAGAGGCAGCATCTAAATAACCAGAGAAACTTGCAGCTGTTGGAGTAAAAAGAAAAATGCTGGGGAAAACTGAAGTGCCTCCAGGTCCAGGGAAATGATGAGCAATAGTTTTGTGTGCTTTTTTGTTTATTATTATTCAGTTTTTAGCTAAACACCCACTGCCATCCTCTCTATTCAGCATCTAGCATTATGTTGAGTGAAACGTAGCAACAGATTGCAGTGTTTGTAGCCTTCAGGGAGCTTTTATTTCTGAGAGTCTTCATAACAGTTTACTCTCAGACAGGGAAGAGAAGAAATTCCCCTGCTGCTTACATGAGCTTTGTTGGCTGATTTATTTTTTTTTTTAATTTTTAATTGTCAACTTCCCTTGACTTCTGTATTTCATACCACAGTAACTGGCTATGAACCCCATTTTACATCCTCGTAACTGAGAGTAAATAGAGTACAAACAATTGAAGGAATTTGAGGCTCAGCCTGGCCTCTTAAAACTCTGTACCTTGTCAGTCTGTACCCCCTGCTGCTTTTGAATCTCTGTTAGTTGAATGGCTGTCCAGCTATGGTTGCTGGCTGGTCCTGCCCAGTGGTTCTACAGAACGTTATGCAGAGCTGGCACATGCTATAGCAATGCCTTTCCAGCCCTGGTTCACTGCAGACAGCTAAACATGTGAATTACCTCTTGTTTGCTCTGTATAACATGCTCACAGTGCAGGGCACGTTTGCTATCAGTAGGAGACTGCACCTTTCCCCTGCACCCATGTACCGGAGTTGAGAGACAGACTTTGGCCGTGCAGCCTGGAGCAGGTCTGTGTGCTGATCCACTGCTGGGAGCTTCAGCTGTGCCTGGCTGTAACGGGGAAAAGTCTTGATTGGGTTTCTGCCCCAACAAAATGAATGGCAGAGCAGCAGCAGTTTGTACTTGTTGCAGACTTTTCATAGTAAGGCTGTACTCCCATAATGCAAAAGAAATACTCTGAGAAAGGTTATCAGTTCCATCCCTCTGTTTTTAAGAGAGTTCCTGCAGTAACTGATCAGTTACTGCATCTCATCTGGTTCCCATACCTCTCCCTCTTACTTTTGCTCTCAGATGTTTTTTCTCTTGCCCCTCCCTGGTGATCACATTTGCCTGCTGGGAACGCATACCGATCTACTCGTTCGTATGCTTCCCTGAAACTGTCTTCAAAGCAGAAGGCAATTACTATGAGAAAAGCTGGGCCAACAGCCCAGCCAGGCAGAGTCTGCCTTGCATGGTGTTTACCTTCACTTTTAATATGGTCAGGGAAGTTCCCCTTGCTGTATTCAAGAACTAGCTTAGGCTTGAATTTCAGTGTGCATCAGTACTTGGCTGTAGGCAGTACTTGGTTTTCAGACTGGAAACAGGAGGCTACTGGATGGAGGCTGGAAGGAAAGGCTTTAGTGGCTCTTTAGGCCAGCTGCTCTTCTCCGTTCCTTTGCAAATGCAAAGGTAAGATAAACAGTCCAAAAGGGCTTTCAGGTGTGGAAGGAATATCCTGTTGTGATCAGAAGAAAAAGTATTTTTAAGGCATATTTCTAAGTATCCTCATACATATTTTTGGCTTTGAAGTTGTATACAATTCTTTTGGAAAATGTAGCATGAGAGTTAATGTAGAAGCAGCTGTGGATTGTTGCTGTTTATTTGTATGTTATTTCATACAGCATTTCTGAAACTAGAGGAATTAGTTATATAATGTGACTCGAAGCTACTTGGACTATCTGACTTCTTATCTGGGAGTTTGATAGAGTAGCATCACTAAATACGCTTGCTTTATTTCTTTCCTCTTTAAACAGCTGGAGAGGCCTGTAATCACACAGAATTTCTGGAGACTGATAAACAGAGGGACTGGACACACCACAAGAATTTCAAAGAGTGTTCTCATCATTGAGGATTTTGAAGCCAGAGATGCTGGAAACTATATTTGTATAGCTCAGAACTTACAAGGAGCAACAACAGTGGCAACTAGAGTTGAACTAAACTAATGGAAAGGCTTCTGGACTCATGATGAACTGTACGTTGCTTTGCATTTTAACCATTGTTTTGTTTATTTTTTGTTAATGTTTATACAAAAGTTTTCTCTATTACATTCTTTTCCTATGTCAACGCCTTCCACTTCCACTAGAATGCCAGGCCAAAACATGGTGCCTTACACCTGGCCGTAATCAGTTGTGAGTTAGAAACACTGCAGATATATTACTAAGTTTAATACTATAAAGTGTAATCTTGAAGCCTGAACATGCATACGGCTTATTGTACTTGGGAATAGATGCTTGTGCATTTTCCTTCGCATGTGGCCTTTTTGCTCCAACGCTTTTACAGGGGTAACCTGCTGGATGCTTTGTGCCTTTTTCCTCTGTGAAAACTCAGAGGATTTGTAACGTCTTCAGAAACCCATCAGTGCAGGGGCATCTCTTCTGGTGCTGTGCAATATAAAATGTAGAGTACTGTACATGTTTAAAACAAAAAAGCAAAAAAAATTCTGACAGAACTAGCCAATAGCAATATTTCTTAAAAACAATTAAATTTCTTAACATTATAGAACTCAGCGTGCCTGTTCATTTCCTATACATATATGTATGCAAAATTCTCAGTCTTGGGAGAAGATGAGTAATAAATGTTTTATGTTACCAGAGAGTGTCTCCAGAGACTTACGAATGAGTGACTATGGCAGATGTCGCATCCTTAGAGTTCAGTATGTTGTCCACTTGCACTGCATTCTTCAACAGATGTAGCAATGCTAAACTAAAAACTTGCGTTCATTTATGGCATAATTTACAGGCTGAAATAACAATGATTATAAAATAACGTTCAATTATACAGCAGATCTTTCCTCAAGTTGATAATTTCATCTTGATTGTGTTACTTCACTGTGGAAGAAAAAATGTTTGATTCACACAGAACAGCATCTGGATAGATAAGCAATTGCTTCTCACCACAGACTGCTGCTACAAGGAAAGAGCCCTTCCAAGAGAAAGGTAAGATCCCCAGTCCCAACATTGTTGGGCATTTCAGCAATAGTTTCCCCCCCCCCCCCCCCAAGGCTCAAGCATAGGATCTGTATAAGCTAGAACTTCTAATACAGAACTGATCGGTAGTGCAACTGTGTAACAAAAAGTATCTCAATGCAAGCAATTGTATTTACAAGGCATGTGGAAAAACAGCTTGTTCTGAAGGTGGGGAACCTAATCAGCAGCCAGTGCCTTGCTTACATGCTTCTGTACCTCTCAGCCTGCATTTGAATAACATTCCTAAGGATTTTATTTGGTGCTGCCTCAAAGCAATCCCTTTGCTCCAGGTAATTCAAACCTGTGAGCAAATGTATACACCACTGCTTTGAGTGGCGACATCTATAAGTACAACTGCCATAAGGAATGGCAGTGTATCTATCCCTCAAGTCATGAATCTGATTAGTACTGTAACTAACAGAAACAGTGAACAGAGTGCAGGAACCTGAAGTGAACTAATGTGATGTCAATGCAAGCCTGAAATGGCTGTGCAAGGTGTCCTGAAGGAGGCTGCAGAGGGAACACACCCCATGATCCATAACACTGTTGTCCTCTGGAAGTGAGGTAGCTACAACAAATAACGCGCCAAGCAATCGGACCAACTTAGAATGCATAGGAAGCAGTTCTATGATAATCTTCTCATTGCTATTAAAAGAAGTCAGGAATGTTACAGTGTTACTGAAATTACCCAATAGTTACTGTATAATTTTATAGTAATACCTGAACAAGGACTTTGTACAGTTGTTCTTTTTTTGAGACAGGTCTTTAATCCCGCCAAAGTAACTTTAATAATCTCTCAGCTTCCGGATGGGGCTGTGCCATGTTTTCGTTCCTTTTTAGCCTTTTCATTTACCAGGAAAACATTCTGCTTTAAACTATAGGAGCTGTGTCAGCTTCTTACATTTCAAGATGTTCCCAAGCCTTACAATGGACAATTAAATTTTCTCTCTCTCCCACTTGCTGGATATTTTAGTGACACCTGTCTGGAGTTGTTCAGTTCATCATTGCTTCCTTGGTGACAGTTTGACAGGAGAGAAAAAGATCATGTGAATGCATCACTGGTCGAGTGGCATCCCTTCAGTTTAACTGTTACGTGGGCTGAGCCCATGAAGGTCTCAGATCCAATTATGTCCACAGAAGTCTTTCTGGAAGACTTCTCTGTTTTTTTCTTCCCTGCAAACATTAGAAACATTCCCTGCACTATTACAAACAATGAGAGGAAATTACCACATATTATGACAGTTCTTATTTCCCAAAAGCCTCATGGGCAGGCCTGATTCTTTCTAGCTTGATGCAAATGCATACTTCCACTTAAATAAACAATGACACGGGCTGAAAGAATGAAGCCTGAGAAATGAAGTCTAAGTGACCTGTCAGAGTCACATGCCCTGACCTGCCAGTATTGCTCTTTCTATTTCCTTGCCTCAGCCTTGCTTTACCGAAGCAAGGCAGCAGCAATTACTGATGGTATTTCTTAATTTTAAGGAGTAAGTTACTGTTTCAGCTTCCTGATAATCTTTTAACTCCAGCTCTGCCTAAATTATTTCCTTGTCATCAGACAATTGCAGTTCTAAAGAACAGTGTTTACTGTAGAAGGAATTTCCAGCACAAATGGCCTGATAGCAGGTTGCATGCAGGCGCCCTTGATGTCTGCCATGAGAATTCAAGGAGCATAAGGAAATGAGTCAGCTTAGATTTTTCTGCGAGTATGGTGCGATTCAAAACCAAATACCTTTAAGGTATGAATAGCTGGAATGACAACCAACCATTTGGCAGAGATAAAAATGTCATTGAGGTGATTTTCCATGAAATTTTGCATTAGAGATAGGTAAGGTGGAGTATCTGAAGAAAAATCACCAGTGTAATTGCTCTGATAGCTCTAGACCTTTAGAACACATCTACAGGAAGCAGGTTTTAACTTAAGTTTCTATGCTAAGGAAACGGTCAGAAATATGTAGAAATTACTGGACTTTAAGGCTTTATTTGCCTTTGCTAACACATAGTATCTAAATCAAAGTTTGAAATGTTAATACTCAGTTAAATAGAGGTAAGTACTGAAACACACAAAAAGAATGTTCTTTTCTGACCAATAGCACACGTGGTGAACTGGCAATTCTATGGTTTGATTTTAGTATACAAATATTTCTTTTTAACAGCATTAAAAATTCTGGTTGCAAGCAGTTCGGAGATGAGAAGCGTCCTGTATTGCTGACTTACCTCATTGCCCTCAACAGTCTGTGTATTACTTCATATGCCATACTTACTGTTCTGTCCCAGTGCACTGGAAAAGCCTTCCCCTTCTCCCTGGTGTGCAGGGGTGTACAGCTGCCTGTACTCTTCTGTCCTTGTTACCTGGATTGCTGAATTCTGCTGTTGCTGAGTTGTTGCTGGTTATTTTTTGTTTGTTTGTTTTTTAAACAGAAAAGAATCCTCACTAAAAAAGTAAGTTTAAGAGGAGTCTTTTGGGTGCCTTTAAGCAGAAGCATAATCACAGTGGGTGCCTATATTAACCCAAACGTATGAAGTGTTTTATCATTGCATAATTCTGGGGATTCTGTGATGTTCCCTATGTGTGTGCTTGTGTTGGTGTTTTTGTTGTTTTGTTTTGTTTTGTTTTTAAACAGCCACCTGAAGCTGAATAGCTGATAATTATAAGCAGCTCTGTGTAATTTCTTCTTATCAGAGAGGCAGGGTAGAGTTACAGTTTCTAAGGGTTAGGTGAACATGAATTTTTGCAGTGAAGCTTCGCTACTTTACTTCTGCTGTGCTGAGCAGGTACTAAGAGAGATTTAATATTTAGAAGGATGTTCCTAGATGAGAGAACATTTGACTAACAGACGCAGGAAAAAACCTTTCAATTAGTACAAAAATTTATTTTTTATGCATTCAGCTCAAATACATGTGATTAAATGTCTTTGACCATAGCAAATGAGTTTTCCAGTATATACCTTAAGTTTTAGCCCACAGAGGATTTTCATAATTAAATTTGAAACCCCAGAAAATTAAAAGCATTGAAGTCACTAACAGTGTCAAGTACAGTGCCTTAAAAGGGGTTAAGAGTGTAATAGTCTATAAAATGGACCCTTAACTTGCACGTAATGTAAGATTAAGTAAATTGAACGATGAAACATTTTTGTTTCATGAATTGATCACAAGTTTAACACATTACATGTTTACTTTTGTATGAGCACTGTTACCAGTCTTGTTTCTACATTCATCACTAAGATTGAAGTCTTGGGTAACATGGTTGGAAGTGGTTCTCCAGTTTAGTTCCCTAAACATTTTCCATCTCCTCAATTTCTGTTCTCAAGCTACTGGAAAACATGGGCGAATGTGGCTGTGTCTTGTCCTAACAGTCAACTGTACAGCTGACAGCATTAGCTACACTGTTACATAACCGTTATGGTGGGGCTGGAAATGGCATTGAAAAACCCAAACCCAGTGTTGTAAGCATACAAATTTGAACCTGTGTTTAGTAGATATGATGTAGAGATTTTAAAACAGATCTAACCAAGGGAATAGCCAGGCTATGTGATCACCTTGGTGAAGCTGAAACTCAGCATACGACACTTCTGGTCGTGCTGACACCCTCAACCGCCAGGTTCAGCAGGCAGGACAAATTTTTCCCCTACTCTACAGAATTTCCTGTACAGGATCTTTTGCCAGATGAACTGGCAGACACTGATACCCTGCAGGCTCAGAGAAAAGGTGTAGCAGACTTAGCAAGATAATTATCCACAGCTATCACCTCCCCTGTCTTCCACAGAGGAACCGAGTCAACTCCGACAAACGTTAATACAAATGCTAGCGCTTAAAAGGTGAACGTGCCACCAGTGCACTGCAATTCACAGATTACTTAAGAGTCTTATTGAGAACTTGAGCACTTAATTATTGCAGTTTTCTCTGGCTTTCGAATCTTGTTTCTCTTTCAGTAGATGGTCTCAGCCATGGACGTGCTGTTTAAGGATCTGTTTTCAGCAGGTAAAGTGATAGGTCTGCCACTGTACTGAGAACTTCAGAGTCAGCGTCCTTCAAGGTCAGATTCTGAATCTGTTGACTTGAAAGACAAAATCTACTGCAACTGCCAGCCTCCTCATAACCAATGCTGTTGTGCATGCACAAAATGGCTACAATTCGGTTTGCTTTTAAAATTCATTCCAAGTTGCATAGAAAGGCAGGCCAAGACACTGAGTCAATGGACAAAGCTTTTCACACTATTCTTTCACTGAAGACAGGAAGATGAAGGAAAGTAACCTACGGCACCAGTGGCTGTCTCTCATCATTTCTGTGAGAGCACTCTTGGCTAACAGCACGCGCTGACACCGTTGTTAAGGAAGTCCATACCAATCTGTAGTCTTCAGCTTTTATCCTTTATTACATACACAGCAAAGAAGGCAGCATTAGACACACGCATGGTGTGTTACATCCATTCCATCCACAGCACGCATGCGCACACGCAAACAAACAGCCTTTAAAAAAGTGTCTGTGATAAGGAACATATTATAAAGGTTGTGATCTTTATCTCTAAGCCCCTGA